TCTTCTTTCAAGACTTCTTTTACCTTTTAAAAATTGCTTATCACCTATTTCGAAAACCATCATGCAGTTTTCATCTGAAATCCATACCAACACATCGTGCTATGACATCACTTTACTTCCGCAATGTAATTTTTATGATCACTACCATTCGGAAAACTTCGGGTTCTGCCGGCATTATCATGCGGTATTCTGATTGGTTAATGGCGTTTTTGACCCATCGGGTCAAAAGACACATGCCGGTCAATTAATACGTCACAATTATCATGGCGGTCTTTGTTTTTCACCCAAGCGATCGAGTGATCAAAAATAATCGCTCAAATTTTACGTCTATTTCATATAAAAAAATAAGTAACATTTTTTCATGGCATGACTGAGTATGAGGAATTATTGGTATAACCGGTGTATAACATCGCGAAGTAAGTTAAAGGGGAACTGCTCAATCCCATGGATTGCACCAAAGAATCATGGGACACTATTGTTTATGTTGTTTACAATGTTAATCTATCTTTTGTTATCCATTGTTATTTTAATCCAGAAAGTAAATTTGTTGTAAAATTAATCTTAACTGGAAGGTGCCCCTTTAAGTCACGTCGTAACTTTGATGATCGTTTGGAAGTTTTATTTGTTCGTTCATTACTGACGGTACGAATAATGAACAATTGTTTGAAGGAGAATGTTTTTGTAGTAAATAAAATCATGGAAGTCGAGAACATATTCCTGGCTGAAACGTTTCAAATGCGTTTCATTTAGCCTTTTACAATTTATTTGTGTGTTTGTTTTTAATAGTCTGCAGCATTTCCATTTCGATTTGACAATTTTTCATTTTTAAATTTAAACTCTTCTAAATTGTGAAACGTAATATTTTGACTCCAATAGAAAAATTATTTGCACTGTATCTGATCTCATTAATATCCCAAAAGAATAGTGTTTATAACACTGTATGAAACAAATAAATATGTCCCACATTGTTTTTGAAAATATATGTTGTTTGTTATGTGGATGTAAATGTGCTTTGGTCAATCTCTATTATTATGTAAATGATATGCAAATTAGTCCGCCACAGTGGTTTAAATTCCTGGGGAGAACACTGCCCCCAATGCTTTCACATTATTGAAGATTTCTGGAGGCAAAACTTTTTAATTGTCTGTGCATTTTGTTAATTAATTAATGTATGGTTTCTTTCACAAACCAGAATTTAAGCAAGAACTCGAAAATTGCATGACAATCCTCATTGGTTTATTATGTACACTTGAATAAACTATTTTTTGTGAGTTACATTATGGTAATTAATTTGTTTAAAATTACTATTAAAACGATTCCATAAAGCAGCATGTTATGCAATACTGCATTTTTTTTCCAATTTTTTTAAAACAGATTTTATAAAAAAAAAAAAATTTCTGATACCGAATGATACCAGTAGACCACCAGTCATGATATAATTACTGTTTACTATGACAGCAGTCTACAATTTGACATAAAACTTCTACCATAGGAACCAATAGTTAAAGCATTGTAATACTGAAAAAATGGCTGCTATTCATGAAAATACAACCATCATTTTATTGATAAATAGGAAGGGGGGATGATCACCAAAATTGGAGTACAATTTATTTCAAAATGAATCAATTCTGGATATTTTTATTGTCCAATATTTGTCGCTATTTAATATTTTTGTGAACAAAATAAAATATATGAACTATCAATATCACTATTTTGTTAGCAAAACAGTGAATTACATTATTGCAATACTGCTGGTTAGTTTGGTTTTTCATTCACAGTGAATCTATTTTATGTCCACGCTTTTGTAATGATATCTGGTACGTATAGTATTCATAGTGTTTAGTATACATTGTACATAACATTTTAAATTTACCCAGGAAAACTTTAAGTGGTTCAGAAAGCTAAAGTAAAAATATCATAATTAAAATTGTGACACCAATGCACACTGAATGTTAAGTCAAGTTTTTTTGGAACATAATTCCTAGGAGGAATAAAAACCAATACACATGATCCCTAAACCATAGACCCTCCAGTAGAGAGTTTATGCTTATAAACACAGAATTACTGTAATCAACAATTGAACCAATAAACCGGTACAGATATGTCACCATAAAATTATTTCATTCATAGATCAACATGATGAGATAAGGACTGACGATAGTAAGAAATGATTTACACTATGAACAGAGTTGGACATTAACAAAGAGCTTCCTGAGAGCCCCTATACACAGACTCCTACGCAAAAACGTGTACAGTGCAGTATTGTCATATGCAAATTAATGAAACATGAAAAGACTAACCACAAAGTACAGGTCCAACAATTAAAATTTAGAAAATAGTTTTATAATGATTAATTCAACTATTAATTATTGATCTCCCATACTAGTTAGAGCCTTATCCTACAGCTACATGTACTTTTACATTGACTTGACCACATCAGGGTTAATAACTTGTTGACTACGCCAACAATAATGGCAACTTGTTTTTAATAAATTAAAGTGTTAAAGATAGCAGAGGGATATCTCTAGACTAAAGTTATCCAATGTTCTGAATAGTGGTAATGGGAAGGAGAGAAGTAAGAACGCCAAGAAAATTTCGAAAATCTAATATTCTGAACAGAAGCAAATTATGTTTTTTAAATGTCAAAGTTGCACTTGAGTGACTTGAACCATGGAGCTAAAAAAAGAGCTCCATGCTTGAACCAAATTGTACAATAACACGAATTTAGATTATGAAGCGATTTCGAGCGAGTTAACAGAATTCATTTCAGATTTTAATTGCCAGAAAAACAAGAAAATGTTCTTCTTGACGAGCACGCCTACGACATATTTCGCAACTAAGTCAGATTTCGAAATATTATATTGCGCAGCAGACAAAAGCGAGGATTATTTTTTTTTCTGCGAGATGTTATACATCTTTGTTACAGAAAATGATATAGTGATTAAAAAAATGGTACAATGTTTGTTATTTCTGACTTTACATCAAGATATTTAATCTAGATAAGTGAATGATGCTCAGAGGGTTGAATTTTAAATAGAAATCACAACTACACCAGCCGTGGATGCCAGACGGGTGATACGGATACGATTTGACGACTCAACCACAGGCTCCGAGAGTCAGGAGTGGCCTTGTCATCTCGCCAACTTTCCAGTCCGTACAAACGATACAAATTGATTAAGTTTTTTCAAACATCCATTTAGCCATTAAATCGTATTTCGACTATAGATAAAACATTTTTTAAAGGTAAACGTTGCGAAATTACAATGTTTCTGCAAAAAACTTACCCCAACACGGCACAGAAGCAGCACTGCAGCTCCGCCATATTGTGAATGGCATGCTGGGAGCTATCATTCCAGACATGCCTCATTTGCATAATTTATTGATCAACATGGCTGCCTGTAGTGGAGCACATGAGTTTGGTACGTAATTTAATAACAGTGGCGATACTAGTGTTTTCTGCTGTATTGATTGTTATGTGTCATGTTTCTGTCGTTTTCGTGACATTTAGTATTCCATCAGCGTGTTAAATTATCCAACTGATAAATGGATGGTAACTTGTTGTGTACACGAATAATAGGATTTACTCGTACTTCGAAACTTAAATATCTGCTGCAACTTCATATACATTACATTTCAAGTAAGTGTGTTTTCTTTAGGCACAATCATATATTGCTTCATTTGCATCATGTGTCATAAGTATATTTAATATGGTTGTATAATTTAATATGGTTGATCACAGATGATGATGATATGCCAGAGTTGGAGGATAGTCACTATGACGACAGTGATGGTGATGATGAAGCTTGGCTTGATATGGATGAAGATGGGTTGCAAACACAGCAATCTGTGACATGTTTATTTTGTGAAGAATGCTTCACCTCTGTCAGTATGACATTTCAACATTGCAGAGACCATCATCGTTTTGACATTAGAGATATACGGAAGATCTATGGTAAAATCATGTGATCAGATGAAAACTGTCAATTTTTGGGAACGTTCTTAACAATAATTCTATGTAACAAGACAAAATACAAGATTTCACTGTGAAAACTCGATTTTAGACTCTTGTTTTTCCGTAAAAAATTTCCCAATTATTTGATTATAATTTTTAATATCCTGATGTTATAAATCAATAATAATGAAAACATGAAGAATATGAAATATAAACTTTAATTTCTCTCAAAACTTCTTGAATACTATTATCATAATTTTATTCTTTATTGTAATTTTATCTATATCTCAACAGAGATTCGATAACAATAAAGTTATTACTTACACTACTATAAATGCATCAATTATTCACTGGGTTTTATATTTACTATGTTTGCTGATAACTAAAATCCATTAAATTAAAAATGAATATGATGTAAAATAACAATACAACTCATTGTTTCCCTGGCAAATTCTTTAACTTAAAACCAAGTGTATATGATCATAGCATCAAAATAGGCAAATTAAATGAAAATAAATTCATTTACAATAGTTCAAAAATTACCAAAAAAAAAGCTCCTCATCCTTGTTTCGCATTAGCCATTGTATAATTTCTGCAAAACTATTCTCACTAAATTTTTTCAGTAAAATTTAGAAGTGTTCCATTTAATTTCATGTATTTTTGGATTCATTTCTGAGTGTCAAACATTTTAAACAGCTATTCATGATTTCAATATATTGTTGTGTTGTCTTGTCAGGATTGGACTGTATTGCTTATATAAAGATGATCAACTATATCAGAACAACGGTGAGTGTGAGGTTAGAAAAAAGCCTACTCGGATGATCGCATCAATCTCTGCTGCACCTTGATACTCCAGCTTGATACTCTTCATTTTTTGTGGCATCCCAGCAATATTCTCATGATTTACTCAGGACAGAATTTTATTGAAGACTAAAAATCAGATATTTGATACTATAATTGCTGTAATTTATTGATTAATTTTCAGAAATGTCCGAGTGTGGTTTTACATGTACCGTATACACCAGATAACATTCCATGGAAAGATGATGTGTTCATGAAACCAGTCATACCAGATGATTTAATTTTGCAATTTGGTGAGTTATTGCGCCCTCCGGTGGTGGATTATTTGAATCTTTTGTGAAAATAATAAGTTGTGTAGTGTATATAATTGTTTAAAAGGCGGTCGTCATCACACTGTGTTCAGTTGAATATGTGATTCATATTGACGTACACAATGCATGTGAAATATTATTTGTTTGTTTACATGAAATTAGAACATGTGCTGCATGACGACCACAGTCCTTTAATCATAACATGTTATTGCTGCTGTGCGTTTTTGTGTACATGTGATAATTCTTATCCTAGTATACATGCATGCACTTAATGAAACATTGTCTATGAATTTTTACTGTAAACTGCTTTAATTTCCCAAAGAAAAATTGTCACCTGTCAGTCAAAATCACAAAATTTCGTAGCTCTGGGCTTCTAAATCATGGAGTGACAGTGACTTTTGCAGAATTTTCATGAATGAATTAAAATCATGAAATTCCTAGCACCAAAAACTAGCAGCTCATTCAAAGCCCATAAAAATGCATTGTACAGTGGTGTGCGTCTTAAAAATATAGAACGTTTTGTGACGTAGCTCTGTCCTCAAGAATGTTTTGATATCTATGCAAGGTATTATGACATGAAAATCAGTCAAACATACTTCAGCCAATAGCTGTACAGAACACAGTGAACACTTGGAAA